CTCGCCTTTTTTACCCTCGCTTTCTGGCCTTTTTCCTCACTTCATAGCCTTTTTTCTCGTCTTTTTTTGCCCTCGCTTTCTGGCCTTTTTCCTCGCTTTCTCGTCTTTCTGGTCTTTTTCCTCGACTTTTTCCTCGCCTTTTTTCATCCATCTTTATCGGTGCACATTTTTTTTAAATTGTTAATTTAATTGAATTATTGAATATTCAAAAAAAAAAGTCCCAGAATGTCCTGGTGGACAAGGTAGAGGGGTTGATTGGCTCCACACTGCTAACTACAAAAATCGACGAACCTGCGATTGTTTAGAAAAAAGAAAAATTAGATAGTGGACCACAGCCATATAAGCCCACCACGGCATGCGGATGGTAAATATTCAAGATTTTGGGGCAAGTGCAATAACTCTGCTTCTAACGGTCGAAAATAGCTCAATTTCGAACTTGATCTTCGTTTTATGAATATGTATACGCATACCGAATTTCATTTGATTCCATCAAAAAATCTAGTTTTTAGAGCGTTTACAAGCAATTGTTGACGAACGGATGGACGGACCGACGGGGGTGCCGACAATATACGTCCACAGAGATGTGGGCGTATAAAAATCGATGCGGGACACCATATTAAAATATTTCGTTTCATGTGAAACAAATGGCCATTCCGGATTTGATCAGAGTTTTTGTGCAGTTGGGCACGATGCCGGCAAGTTAGGCAATGCGGCAAAACGAACCCACCGTTATGTAATATCACTATGGTCCTTGGATTCGATTTATCGATGAAATAAGTATTCAATTATAATGAAATGATCATAAACAAATTAATATGTCTATCAACTGACGTATTATGCCATGTTAAACTTGATCTGGAATTTAGTTTACAACCAATTATAAAACTTAGGGAGTATAGGTTTTAATTTGATAGCCTACTAATGACAAAGTTACGAAAGCACAGGTAAACTTATAACTTAGAGTAAATTTTTTTTTTAGTTTATTGTTTGTTTTCGTAGTAAATTAATAGATCGTCGAAGAAAAAACTGAAAAGGAAAGAGTATTTATAGTGTTAACGAATATCTTCACTAGCTGTCTCTTAAGAATAGCCTATCAAACATAAAAATATTAAAAAACCGGAAAAAGTGTCCCTGAATAATATTATATGACATTATTATTATTAAAAAGACAAACATTAAAAGGTCAAACAAATCAATTAACGATTCATTTGTTAATTAACCCATTGAAAGCAAAATTAGTTTGATGCATAAATGGTAATATCGAGGAAAAAGGCGACGAAAAAGACGAGGAAAAAGGCGAGGAAAAAGTCGAGGAAAAGGCGTGAAAGTGTGGAAAAAGGCGAGAAAGCGAGGGTTAAAAAGTTTGGCACGTTTTTCCTAATTCAAGGGCAATAATTCAAAAACCGTTTATCGAAAATCGTCAAATTCAAACTTGACCAAGATCTCATCAATATATTATCACATCAAGTTTCATTAAAATTAGTTAAAATACAGATGTGGCGTAATCCTTTGATCTTAGCGGACCAATATTCAACTTATTTGTACGGGCATTGTGCCAAGAGTATATTAAATTTTAAATATAGCTGCATATTACGGACTGCTGTGACGACATAACATGATTGATAAATACTCACTTTCGGGTGATTTTTAATAAATTATTTCTGAATGTTACCATCATTGACTCTGATGTTTTGGCCACACAAATTATGTAAATTCTGTCCGATCGTAATGCTTACAGAATCGCATTCCGCCTAATATTATAATATAAATTGAAATATTAACTTCATAACAGTACTGATAGTCTTCGACTGTCCATGGATTGAAAGAAAAGGCCAACAGATAAATAAATTATTATGTCTGAGCAAAGTAAAAAGTTTTTTTTTTATTTTTTCTATTGTTTTTACGAGAAGTGGAATAGCAGCCTCAAAATAGTAGTCTTAAAATGTCTTGCTTTGATAAAAATATAAAAATAAGCACACACTATGTCTTTACAATTTGATTTTACAGAGGCCCATTTTCAGCTAAAATTTGTGACTTTTAGGGGTTGAAATTTCTAGGAGGGAAATGTGTTTCTTTTCAATGTAATCTTACAAAAGAGGATATTTTTATTAACGCAAAGATATTCTAAGTACTATTTTGAGGCTGATATTCTAATTCTCTTAAAAAATATCGAAACAATCAAAAAAAATTTTTTAATTTGCTCAGACAATAGTTGGAAATATGATTTTACAGAAGGAAATTTTCAGTTCCAAATCTAAGTCGGTTTCACTGAATATTAATGGACGTGTTTATTTCAAGTATAGAATTTCCAAACATTACATTTCTATTAACCCAAAGACATTTTAAGACAAATTACATGCAATTGGAAATTTACAATATTGTGGATAATTGTGAAATGGGAGTCAGAAGTCAGTAGTAGTATAATCACAGATATTGATCACCCCGAATTGAATGACACGTGAGTTGATCTCATGTGACCTGTACTATTTCACGTGCATGAGTAGATGTTATTGTTTGTGTAATCTGTATTTTAAGTAGGTTAATGGTCTTCAAGCAGTCCAATGACGTGTTACGATCATTATTGAACTTATTGGACTGCTTTCGACCATTAACCTATACATAAAAACTGTAGTCTCTATTATGTTCACAAGAAATGTTGACGGACATGTGGGCGTATAAATGACTTGATTTGTTTATATACTATGTTATGATATGCGAATAAATTATTTTTTGAAAGAAAATATAGACCCTTGCTCGCTAACCTGAAGGTCCAGGGTTCAATCCCGGCATAGGTAGAGATAATATCTTCAGATATTTCAACCTGGTTTCCCCATGTCAGCTGTTGACACAGAAAGAGCGTCTAGTCGTTCGTTCGCTGTGCTCGTTAAAGACCCCACCACAGTTGGAAATCGAAAGAGAGCAGGCTAATGCCGCTGTCCTGGCAAAATTTCCCTCGTCGCAAGTTGCATGGCGCTGTCCGTCTTCGTTAGCCTGTGGGTGTAAAATTTCGAATTCCCGCACTGTCCGAATTGGGTCTTTATTTTTCGTGTACACAGGTCTAATTCATAATTATAATATTATTATAAACTGGCACGGTGTACAAGAAAGAAATTGTGATTTGACCAAATGAAAGCTTTTAAAAATATTCGTTTTATGATGTAAAATGTTTTGATTCCTATCCCGCAAATTTAGTTTCGATGGGTCTTTTCTGGCCCAATTCGGACAGTTCGAGAATTCGGAATTTTACACCCGCCGTTCATTAGCCCACATGATGCAGAAAAGTAGGAAGTAAAAACCCCAAAATTTCATTTCATTTTGAGTCCCAACACTAGATTAAGCTGCTTATTTAACAATTAATTATTTTAATTAACATTTTAAAATCAAGTTCGATCAAGTAGATATGTAAATAGCATATTGTATTATTACGACCTTTTTGATAATGACAAATTTACATACTGCCCTTTTAATTACAAAAGAATAAAGTGATTCAGTAAAGAATTTACTTACTATATTCATTTTGTAGCAGTCGTCATATTCAGCGTCAGTCGAGTGCTGCTCGTCAATATCACCAGAAAGAAGAAAACATTGTTTAATAGGACTGGAACACATCAACACATAATTACAAGTTATGTCTTCGAAACATTTAAATAAACAAAAGTTCATATCGACGTCCTCTATAATCTGAGTTTTATTATTTATATTATTAAATCCTCCAACGTATACAGTCTTTATCAAATCTTTCACAGGAAAACATCCATTTAAATATCTTAAAAACAAAAAGTACAGCAGGTAACTTAACATTTCCATATTGCTTTCCTTGTGTTGATCAGCTAATTTCAGAGTATGAATGTCTCAAGTCCAACTTAAATGATATATTGTTTAAATTTATTGTCGAACTGTTGATATCAACTTATTGACGTTAATGTCAGAAATATACAAAATATTGCAAATAACACTAAGAAATATTCAACTAGCTCTCAATGCATTTAAATCATAGTATTGTGTACTTTGAGTACCGTGGTCTGAAGGTATATAATATGAAGTACACAGTCTTTGCACAGTAGTACACGAAGGTATATTATTATCGATTCATATAACACTCAACTTTTGTTATTGATGGTCACACAGGAATTTAAGATTGAAATGAAGAAAATCTTAATTCTGAATAAATAAAAAGTTAAAATTCGAACTAAGATATCATGAATATAAATGATCACACCAAATTCTATTAAAATCAGATAAAAACTGTGGACGGACGGACTGACCGACCGACCGACCGACGGACATGGGCGACAACAATATACGACCATGTTGGCGTATAAAAAGGGTATACGTGAGCAAAGGGAGTATACAACATACTTTAGTGAAACATAATATACATCTACAATTTTTACATACATTCTCAATTCCAACCGCTATTTTTCTAAATCTAGTATCAGGACATATTTGAAGTGTTACAAAAAGCTCCAGCTAAGTTAGGCCAATTTATAATTTTATTTAGTAACCACCACACCAACTCAGTTTTAGCATGTATTTGTATTTGTCCTATCCCTAAATATTTCTAGAACTACAAATGTTGAGTTATAAACATGTACAATGTCTATGGGAGCATATCGATAAACAGATTCACTGTGTTCTATAACGATTCTAAACCCTGATCCATTAACAGCTGCATCATAAACTTGATCTTTCGAACCATATACCACATCTCTCGACCCATCAAACGTCAGTATCTTCTCCCACGTTTGTCTACTTTCAACATACCACCTTGTTCCGCCTGTTTCAATGGTTGAAATGTTAGTTGAGGTTTGTTCCAAGATGTGAGATACAGATACTATTAAACCAGTTAACGTAAAACTATCACGTGATACAAATATTTACGCGCGAAATATAAACCAATAAAAATATACCAGTAAACCTACTGGCGTGACTTCTCTTTTAACAAGATTAAAGTTCCCATCTAACAAAATAATGTCATAAAAACAATTTAACAAATCAACCTAGTACGATAAATCATAGTCATTTAGATATTTTGGTAGTTTGCGGAGTCTCTTTGGTCGTTGAAGGGAGGTTGATGGAGCAACTGTAGAATCAACAGATGGTTCTTCTGGCAGAGTTATCTCAGGTGGTGCTTCGGGAGGAATGTAGGGTGGATCAATCATAACAGACTGGGGAGTAACATCGGGTACGTCAGCTTCCTCATCGCTGTCATTGTCGTCCTTTCGATGAACAATATTAGGAACAACATAACTAGGGACTTTGTAACATTCATTTAGATTGACTTTGTAGGAGGCGGAACGAAGCTGTGATCCTGAAAACTTTCGAATATAACACCAATCATCCTTCATCTCTATAATCAAATAACGGTCTAGAGAACAAGCTTTGTTTCGATCCGACTGGATGTAAACCAAATCGCCTACTTAAAGTGCTGAAATATCAATAACTTGTTTGTTCAAATTTTTTGATGTTTGCATGTGTGAATGGTTATTTAAGCGTTGACTCTGTTGTTGGGATATGAGATCGCGATCGATGACGGGTATCTGTTCATTAGAATACTGATTGGGATGTGTCCATATTTCACTTGCAGATAAACCCCTGCTGCGGATACGGGAATTGAGTGTTGGCGTAGCTAGTGCCAAACCTAACGACGAAACGGGATCACCACTGGGGTCTGTACGTAATAGCTCCTCTTCAAGTTCACGAATAGCTTTTACAGCTACGGGTTTTTTGTTAGGGCTCTTGTAGCGACCTACAACTGTAACTGTAAGAGTTCGTTATTTCAAACAAGAACAGCAAATCCCTCATAACAGCAGTAGGACCATCCAATGGTCTTAGTTCTAACGAAAGTCGAATAAGCCCACCACGTAATGTAGAATGCTGTTCGTTGTCGATAAGTACTGTAGATGTATAGGATAAAGCAGTCTCGCGGAGAACAAGTATAAGTTGTTTGTTACATTTTAACACGTCAGCTGCAAAATAAACTCCAATAACTGTCGGTGGGTCTTGAGAAGTTTGTTCAGTCAACATAGTTGGGAAGTGCATGTATGGCAAGCTTCAGAGACTTTATCGATACTTTTGTCAATATCTAGAGCGACAAGCTTCAATTGGTGCTTAGTAGGGTGGTCCAATTTTAAGTGAATAGAGGTTAATACGGTTCTAGGAACTATAATGAGTTTACGCTGTGACGCCAAAGGTTGCGATTGTTTAACTACGAGAAATCCATCTCGCGCTATAGTAGCACAGTGTAAGTACCATATTACATCACTGATATTGGTTAGCTTTCGAGAGGGACGAGTTCCTTGTTTTAAGTGGGAATGAACACGTCTTAAATCTGGGTCTTCAGATTGTGTTTGAATCCATGCGGATCTAGACGTAAAAGGTAGTCGGTGAGCCCCACTGACAATGTCACTGACGGTATAAGATCAGTGGTGGAAATAAATACACAGATTTGGCAGTTGGGTTCTTTGCACGGTAAAGAGTTCCTACTGGCAAAATCGGAAGGTACATTGGCGGTACCAGCCAGATGGACAAGATTAACCTTGAAGCGGCTAACAGTAGAAAGGAATGAGGTAACTCTTGGACTCGCTGAAAATTCTCCTCTACATAATTTACCAAATGCTTGTACCCAGGTTTTTTCTGTCTGTTAGAACAGTTGCTGTATGTGTAGACTGAATGATGTAAGGACTAAAATGTTTGATTGACGCGGCTCTGCACAACGCTTCGATCTTGCATGGAAGCCATATAACTTGATGCTTTCGTAATTTTGCACTAAAGTATCCAGCCAGGGACGGTTTATTGCTGCGGGAGACGTATAATGTTGCCCCACTACCGTGATTGGCAACGGAGCCATCGGTCCAAAGCTGGTTGTTTGGACGGGGTAGTAAGATGGATGTATTGGAATGAAGTTTTTCCTGAGCCATATAATACTGTGCCCTGAGCTCATCTGTCCAAGCTATACAGTCTTTAGAAGATCTCCGAGGACGCGACACATAGGTTCCTCAAGTGCAGTTTCGGACCCGGGCACACCCATGGCCGATCTATTGTAAACACGGACACCGCGAAAGGGGGTTGAAACACCACAATACTTCATAGAAGATTTGTTAAGCGGTATTTGATAAAAGGCGTTACTCAATTCAGTTACAATTATGTATTTCCAACAGGTGATTGTTCTCAGAATCGAATCGACGTCTGGCATGAGTGAGGGTTGGGGTTTGCTATTTCTACCGACATCAGCGAAAGCAGTAACAAGTCTGAATTCACCAATACCTTTTTTTGATGGGTTTAAATATTCGATATTAACGCCTACATCTTCCGGGCGGGTAAATACACCCTCAGATTCAAGTTCGTCAAATTTGGCCTGTAATCCGCATAGTCTGTCACGAGCATATTGGGGAAGGCGACCTTTACGCTGTGGGGGCTGAACCGGTCCCATATTTACAACAGCTTCAAAAGGGCCTGACGCACCATTGTAGCAAGAAATATGCTTATCAAAAACATGGTCATAATCTTGTAGAACTTGCTGGAATGAAGTTTTTTGCTCTAAGGTGAGTATATTATCGGAATCTAGGTTAATTGACTCAGAATGAAATGAATTACTGGACGTGTGCGCTCTGGTATGTTGATTGATGTACTGAGGATTCGTGTCTCGGATTTCTGGTTCGGACACGGACAGTAATCGTGCTTGACAAAAGTGATCATTCTTGGCAAGTAACTTGGGATATGATGAAGAATTGACTAGGCGGACTCTACCAGCTGCTGCTTCAAGAGTGTTGGAAGGTGGCCACATATCAGAGTCCTTTCGATTTCAAGCGCAAATAGAATCTGATCTACGCTCAACGGCGATCATGCCTTCAGGTAACAATATTTCAATAAACTCACCAGGCAAAATGATAGATGCGGTCAAAGTGGATCGCAATACGTATGCTTGCGTGCGGCGAATAGTGGATGATGTGGAATCATATTGTTGATTGGGTCCATAATATACAGTCTTGTTGCCTTGAATGGTAATTTCTTGTCTAGCTGGTCGAACATTCGACACCATCGAGAAGGAAAGGAGCAAAGTTTTGGTCTAGTGACAATGTCTATTGAAGGTTTTGTCTCCACGCCTCGAAAGAGGTGATATTTTCATGCTTTGTGAGACTCCATTGTTTTGGAGCTCTTATATTTGCTGTCATGACGACTATTTTCTGTTGTAAAATGAATCTGGCAAAGTTGGAGGCGAATGTAAAAAAAAAACAAGTGAATGTACCTTTAAATTAGTCACGACTTCCGAGATAGTCGACTCATCCAGATCTCTTTTGATCAAAAAGTTGTTAACGGTTGACAGATTGAACGAAATAGGTAGTTCGTTGAATGATTAGAGTTCTGATCCCAATCCTGCCTGTCAATGTTAACACACTTTTTGATGATGAATTCACAGGTTTAATCACAAAATAAAGTAATAACAAAACGCCGCTTTTACTTGAGCGGAAGCCAGTAAAAGTAAACAAAACTATCACGTGATACAAATATTTACGCGCGAAATATAAACCAATAAAAATATACACCAATACTGCCTTAGTATTTGTAAGTGCCTTCTCATTGAGATACACGTCAGCTCCTTTGTTTATATCTTTTAGACAATTAGTCATAGACCCTATTATTACATTGCCATTTTTCATTTCTAAGCAAGGAGATGATCCAATTTTATTCTCCTGGAACCATTTTATCGCAAAGTTCTTCAAATATACAACACTTTCTTTTCTGTCATTGAAAGTCATAGACCATTCAGAAGCGTGTGGTTGTGCTGAACTTATTTCAAGTCTATGCCGTGCTATGAAACTATCAGTTGTAATCAGATGATTGAGTTTAACATTTTCTATTGTAATTGCCCAAATATTGTTTGATACCGATGCACCAGTGTTCTATGTTGAAGATAGTAGTGTATTCTGGATTTCCATAGATAATACTAACTTTTAAACCTTTACCAGCAAACCGAGTTGTAAAGCTCTTGTCCTGTCCCGTAATCCACTGAACTATTGGGCAGGACAGACAATATCAGTGACCACACATTCCCAGAATTACAATGAAGTGTATTACACAGGTTCAGCAAAACGATTTGAGCTCGTAGCATGCATATTATGTACATGTAGGTCATATATATATGCCCCTTGTAAACAAAACAACGCGCCAGCTTTAGAAGTTGGCGAAGGGGGTGGGAAGGATCTCAAACAAATGTTTACGACGTAATGTGAAATATTTAATCCGGCAACGAATTTCATATATTTATATTACATAAGCACAAGTAAAAGATTCTATTTATCATACAACTGCCAATAAACACATTGAATGTACCGTTTGCACAGAGGAGGCGTTTGTCTTCATTTTGAGGTCACACACTTTATACACCTTCGCTTTGTTAAAGATATTCTAATGTTATTATACGCCGATGATCTTAGTATTTTATTTGACACAGTTGGAGATTTACGGAGAAAAATTATTATTCTTGAAAACTTTTGTTTAGATTTTAATCTTAGAGTAAATACATCTAAAACCAAAGTGGTTGTGTTTAGAAACGGTGGAATCCTCCGTAATTATGAAACTTTTAATTATAAAGGTAATAAGATAGATTGTGTGTCATATTATAATTATCTTGGGATAATAACTTATTCGTTAAAACGAAATATTTTATAAAAGTACGGAAAATTGCTACGTAAATTCACACCATTATAACACCTTTACTGAAAAAGATATTATTTGTATATTGGTAAAAAGTTTCGATATTTTTGTGCCGATATTAGGGCCACAAAACAGTCGATAAGATTTTCATGCTTTTGAAACCTTTTGTACAACATTCCATGACCCTGCAACGAAAAAGGTACTCTTATAGGATGGAGCTCAATAAAAATTTCTTTGTTATTTGTAACATCCGTTTGTGGATTTTTGTGTCGCTTGATCACAAGTCAGAAACCTTTCAGATTGAATCCAGAAGAGCATAACAACAAACTTTTTTGTTTGATACATCTGTCTTGTTTTAATAAAGGGAAGTATTGAACTATGTATGATTGAGAATATGATTTCTCACATATCGAAATTGGTTGGCTGACTTTTGCCGTGTGCTCATTCTGTGTCTTAGATTTAAGGTCCAACATTATAAACAAATTTTAAGCAGACCCAAACGTTACAAATTGTTTATCTCTAAAAATTATCTATATAGTGATGTTTGAACTTATCGCGTAAAAAAATACTGCTATACTGCGATACATAAAAAAAATTACATCTTCCAACTCTTATTACTTTAAAACCCAATCATTACATTACTCACATATATATTTTGGATTTCACTTGTCATTTATACGCAGTTATTTAAACCTCCTTCCAGTGGCACTTTATTTTATATACACTAAGGTGCACCTGGGCCTCATAGACACGGTCCCGTGGATTTGTTTATGTGCTTTTCACTAGAATAGTCTAATAGTATAGCCAGACGAAGCTTAGTATGTAGTGTTAGGGTGTATTGAGACAAGTCTCAATGAAAGCACTGGCCTAGGTCACAGAGCAACAGATAAGTCTATTGATTATGTGAAAATTAGTTAGTATTAGTATGATTTTAGTTGAAAAGACACAAACACAAAAATACACTGCATGTTATATAATATACTGTATATAGCCATGGCACCAGTCCTGAAATAAGTATTCTCTGAAATCTAACTCAGAAATAGATTAATTTATTGATAGAACATGATACATTTATATTAACAAATCTATGCTCCTAGGATGAATGGACATTGTTCAATGGTTCAAGTCTACAGTGAAAGAGAAAATTGCTAAGATTTTGATTTCTTTTGTAAGCTACAACCAAACGTTTTGTGTATACATGGGGAAATTTGTTCTGAAGTTCCGAGTAATGGCGTTTGACTATTATGGAGGCTTTGGTAGTTGTAGAATCAAATGTCGTTATAAAGGGTATTATCTGGTTATCATGTTGAATGTTGAGTCCATTTGGCCTCACAGTCTGCAGTTGATCGATCCAATAACTTTCGCGTTGTAGACGTCTAAGCTTAGGTTTCATGCTAGGTGATGTAGAAACTGTTTCTATAGGCATGATGAGAAGGTCATCAATGGAATGATCGGGAAGGTTGAAGTGATTCGCAATTGGTCTATCCTTGCCATGCACTATATCATAGCGATGGCCATTGAATCGCGTCTGAGTTTTATTGTCCTCTGCTAGGACATTTGGACTGGGATATCTCATGTAGCGAGTAGCGATATATGTAGCGAGTTGTAATATTGTCTGCGAGGACGGTTGGGCTGGAATAGCTCATTCAACAGCAAATTGAAATGTCGTCTTCTTGGACAGTGTCGGTAGTGCGTTGTAATCTGCTTAGACAGGGGGACTGGGAGTGCTCAGTCAGCAGCGAGTTTGATTGAAAGTGGCCTGGAATAGATCAGTCAGTGTTGGGCTAGATTTGTATCTACTAGGACAGTGGGATAGAAAGCTCAATAATCAGTTTGATTGTCATCTACTGAGACAGTGAGAATGCCAGAGCGCAGACAGTATCGGGCTGGGTTGTCTTTTGATAGCACAGTGGGAATCAGTCGGTAGTGAGTGGGATTGTCATTTGCTAGGACATTGGAACTGAAGAATACTGAGGATAGATCAGTTGGTTGTGTGATGGCTGATTTGTGTCCTGAAGACTCATCACGGATGGGTAGTTCAGTAGGTCCAAAGTCAGCCCCGCTGCTGGTGTAACCATTATTATCCGCTTACCCATGATCTGGTGCAGCACCATTACCATGAAGAAAATACATCAAAAACATTCCTAGCACCTGTCATGCTTCACTCGAAATGCTGGCTAAATAAGAATCATTTGAAGAACTACTGAACAGTCCTGAAAATTAACATATTTTTCTATGGACCGAGCCTGTCAGGCCCGGCTACACTTTTACTTCGGAAAATTTATTCTTCAATATACTGGGCATATACGACATGAGATGAGTTTATTACTTTGAAGAGGGTTAATAGGGGAAAAGAAAGTGGAGGTTAATGAGTGAAGAGAAAGCGAGGAAAAGGGTGAGGAAAAGGGCCTTTTTTACTCTCGCTTTCTCGCCTTTTTCCTCGTTTTCTCGCCTTTTTTGCCCCGGAAATACGGTATCAATTGTGAAAATTGATTGAAAGCTCACATTACTATTGCAGTAACCGACTTCGCTTTCTCGCCTTATTCCTCGCTTTCTCATGGGCTAGAAGTCGAGAGTTGAAATGGCCGCAGCCGGCTTCGATAGTGTACGTAAAGTGGCCAAAAAGACCAAAAGACCCAGGAACTCTTGGAGCGTTAATGTGTCGTCGTTTTATGTTCGTTCATTTATATGTGATTCGGACTAAATCTATATATTTTAATCCATCGACCCATGATTAGAAAATTATGTATATTAATGATACCCAAGTAGGTCAATATCAATCCTTCATCACATCGCAAAAACATCTTTTATTCAACATGTAAATCGGTCATGAGTATGGAAATCCATATTATTGGTAATATTGTATTTCGCGTGATTGTAAACGTTCCGTTTTATGAATGTGAACGCAGGAATCTGGTATTTTTAACAGATTCAATGAAGCTGTCAATTGGTACCAGTCCATAAGCAGCGTAGTGCCTCATAGGAATGTGACAGAAAAAAAACAATGTTGAAAAGACTGTGTTTCTGAACAATGTTATAAATATTACATCTGCATTTGTCTACATATAAAATTCGCTCGACTGATTACTACTACATAATATATACAGGATAACGATTACTTACCCATAT